TCTGTGTAGCCCTGGCTTTCCTGGAACTCACTATGTAGACTGGCCTCTGCCTCCCAAGTGCTGAAATTAAAGGCTTGCACCACCACTACCTGGCCTAAAATTTATTTTTTAAGATCTATTTTATTATTTTTATTTGTGGATATATGTGAATCTGTATAAATGTATGCCATGTGTGTGCAGTGCCCACAGAGGTCAGAAGAGGGCATTGGATCCCCTGGAGCTAGAGTTGCAGACAGTTGTGAATTGCTCAACATGGGCACTAGGAATTCAATTAAGTCCTCTGCAAGAGCAGCAAACACTCTTAACTAATGAACTTTCTCTCTCTCCAGCCCTACATTCTATTATTTTTAATTTTTAGGTTTATTTTTTATTTTCTATGTATAAGTGTTTTGCATGTATATCTGTGTACCACATATATGCTATGCCTGGGCTACCAGAAGAGGGTATCAGATTCCCTTGAACAGAAGTTACAGATGGTTGTTAGCTGCCCATGTAGCTGCTCGAAATCAAACTGGGATTCTCCAGAAGAGTAGTCAGTGTTCTTAACTGCTGAGCCATCTCTCCAGCACGGTCCACACCGCTAAAACTTAAAAGCATCTTGAAAGTAAACGTGAATGAAACAGAGAAAACAAATTGTGGATAAATCCCCAACAATCCTGCCCTAAGGCAGGCATATCTATCTCACCATCTAACAAAATAGACTGAAGTCAACATGCATTTCCAGAAATAAAGATGACCACTCAGTACAAAGAATTCAACTCATTAGGAAGACATATGAATTTTCAATGTATATATACATGAAGATATAACTGAAAACATAGAGCAAAATTTGACAGAAGTATTAAGAAAAATGCAAAACTCTATAATGATCATGAGAGAAATTAATGCCCCTGTTTCAATAATTATTAGTAGTTGGGCACAGTGGCACTTAGGAGACTGAGGCAGGAGGATCACTTGAGCTCAAGAATTCCAGAGCATTCTGGGCAGAATAGTGAGATCTTATATTTAAAAAAAAAGTTATAAGGGGGCTAGAGAGGTGGCTCTATGATTAAGAGCACTGGCTGCTCTTCCAAAGGACCTTCATTTCTAGTACTCACATGGTAGCTCACAGCTACCTATAACTCCAGTCCTAGGGGATCCAAAGCCCTCTTCTGGCCTCCTCAGCCACCAAGCACACACATGGTGCACACATATATGTGCAGACAAAACACCTATGCATACAGAATAAAATAAAAATGAAAAAACCCAGATGAACAAATAAGTGAAGCCTAACCACACATAAATTCTGATTAGCATTAACAAACTGACCTGATAGACTCATCTAGAAAGCTGCTGTCAGTGACATAATGTTTTTAAACACAAGCAGAAATTCTGAATACCACCCATATTCTAAACAAGTTTTTTAAAAAATTCAAAGAATTAAAATCACATGGAGCATATTGTCTGACCATAATGCAATTAAGCTAGAAATCAGTAACAAGATAGCCAGAGTGTAGCCATATGCTTGAAAATAAAAAATACACTTTGAATAACACATTTTGGTCAAAGAATAAACATGATGTGTTAGAAAACGCTTTTTTTTTTTTTTTTTTTGGTTTTTCGAGACAGGGTTTCTCTGTGTAGCTTTGCGCCTTTCCTGGAGCTCACTTGGTAGCCCAGGCTGGCCTCGAACTCACAGAGATCCGCCTGCCTCTGCCTCCCGAGTGCTGGGATTAAAGGCGTGCGCCACCACCGCCCGGCTCTAGAAAATGCTTTTAAAGATGCCCTGATGAGAACTGTAGTTATAGAGGCGAGATACTGTAAACGCCACCCTTGGTGCTGCACAGCCCTAAATGACTACAGCAGGTCAAAGGATCCAAAGGCAAGAAAGGGGCTACACAGCCAAGGGCAGAGCTGCTGTTACAAGTGTACACATTTAAAATCCCGATGCCTAGCCAGGAGTGGTGACACATGCCTGTAATCCCAGTACATCGTGCGTGGAGAAAGAAGGAGCAGAGATCAGGCCATCCTTGATGACGTACTGATTTTAAACTAGTCCAACCTACTTGAGACCCTATAAGAATGACAGTGATTAAGAAATCAAATGTAGGGGCTGGAGAGATGGCACAGTGGTTAGAAGTGCTTGCTGTTCTTCCTGAGGACCTGAATTCAATTCCTGGCTCCAACCTTCGGCAGCAGCTCACAGTCTGCAACCCCAGCTCTAAGGTATGATGCCTCTTCTGGCCTCCATTGTTTCTCTTACACACACACACACACACACACACACACACACACACACACACACGTGAAAATAAATATATATAAAAAAAGAAATCAAATGTAACCAGGCGGTAGTGGTTACACTCAGCACTCAGGAGGCAGAGCCAGGCAGACCTCTGTGAGTTCAAGGCCAGCCTGGTCTATAGAGTGAGTTCCTGGACAGCCAGGGCTACACAGAGAAACCCTGTCTTGAAAAAAAAAGGAATGAGAAAAAAAAGAAAGAAAGAAATCAAATATTAGAGGAAAAGCAACCAAAGAGATATCTGGATAGAGAGGGCCATTGTAGGGTTAGGGAGAATCTGGTGCCAGGGAAACTCCTGGAAATCTGCAAGGATGACCCCAGCTAAGACCCCTAGCAATAGTGGAGAGGGTGCCTGAACTGGCCTTCTCCTGTAATCAGATTGGTGACTACCCTAACTGTCATCATAGAAGCTTCATCCAGCATCTGGTGGAGGCAGATACAGAGACCCACAGCCAAGCACTGGACTGAGCTCCTGGAGTCCAGTTGAAGAGAGGGAGGAGGGATTATATAAGTTGGGGAGTCAAGATCATGATGGGGAAACCCAGAGAGACAGATGACCTGAGCTCGGGAGAGCTCATGGTCTCTAGACTGACAGACAAGGAACCTACATGGTACCAAACTAGGCCCTCAGTAAGTGGATGACAGTTGTGTAGCTTGGTCTGTTTGGGGGTCCCTAGAAGTGTAATCAGGATCTGTCACTAGTGCATGAGCTGGCTCTTTAGAACCTATTCCCTATGATGGGATGCTTTGCTCACCCTTGATGCAGGGAGGAGAAGCTTGGTCCTGCCTCAACTTGATATGCCATGCTTTGTTGATTCCCATGGGAGACCTTACCCTTTCTGAGTAGTGGATGGGGGTGGTGGTGGAAAGGAGGTGGGGAGAGGGAACGGGAGGAGAGGAGGGAGGAGAAACTGATTGGTATGTAAAATAAATTTTTAAAAAATTAATTTTAGCTGGGTGGTGATGGCACACACCTTTAATCCCAGCACTCAGGAGGCAGAGCCAGGTGGATCTCTGTGAGTTCGAGGCCAGCCTGGGCTACCAAGTGAGTTCCAGGAAAAGCACAAAGCTACTCAGAGAAACCCTGTCCCGAAAAACCAAAAAAAAATTAATTAAAAAAAAGAAATCAAATGTTGCAGTGGTGGCACACGCTTTTAATCCCAGCACTCAGGAGGCAGAGGAGTTCCAAGACAGCCAGGACTACACAGAGAAACCCTGTCTCAAAAAACCAAAACCAAAACCAAAACAACAAGAGCAACAACAAAAAACAACCAACCAACCAAACAAACAAACAAAAAAAAAAACCAAGAGTGGAATTATATTATTTACAGGCAAATAGATGTGAGTGGAGACAATCCTATTAAGTGAATTAGGTTACTCCAGAAAGAATAGGTTAGTCCAGAAATATCAAATGTCTTCTTTCCTATGTGGTTCCTAGATTTTTAAAGACTTATTTTTATTTGTGTGTATCCTGAGTGTGAGTTTGTGCATGTAAGTGGGTTTGTGCATGTGAGTGCAGTGCCTAAGGAGACCAGAAGAGGGCACCAGACACCCTGGAGGTGGCGTTCAAGGTGACTGTGAGCTGCCTAATCTGGGTGCTGGGAACTGAGCTCTGGGTCTCTGAAAAAAGCAGCAAGCACTCCTAACCTCTGAGCCATCCCTCCACTCACCCCAGCCACACGCCTGATTTTATATAAGATACAGAAAATATATACATGAAGTAGAAAGAAGTCTAGGAGAACAGGGGAGACTAATAGGTGGCTCCTGAGAGGTGAGAAAGGAGAGCAGAGAGCTCTGGAGAGTGTGCTCAAGGAGCATTATATGTCTACATGAAAATGTTCTTACATAGCACAGTACCACATACGATGAGTGTGTGCTAGTGGGAACACACACACACACACACACACACACACACACACACATTGAGACAAGGTCTCTAATTTATTTTATTTTATTTTTTCTCAAGACAGGGTTTCTTTGTAGCCCTGGTTGTCCTGGAACTTACTATGTAGACCACACTGGCCTCAAACTCACAGAGATCCACCTGCCTCTGCCTCCTGAATGCTGGGATTAAGGTATATGCCACCACTGCCTGGCTTGAGACAAGGTCTCTACATGGCTTGGTCTGTCCTGGAAGTTACTGTGTAGACCAGGCTGGCCTTCAGCTACAGAGGTCCACCTGCCTCTGCTTCCCACGTTCTGGGATTAAAAGTGAGTACCACCACACCTGACCTTCTCAAATCTATTTTGTTAGCTAGTAGAATAGCAAGATGGTTTTTGGGGCAGGGCTGTTGGTACACCCAAGGATTTTTTTTCTATCTATTTTAGGAACTTAGAAAAATAACAAATCAAACTCAAATGAAATGAGAGGAGGAGTTAATAACTATAAGACAAATATAAATACAAAATTCATAATCATGAAATAGAAGGGAAAGGACAATAGAAAAACAAACTGAGCCAGTAGTCTACTCTAAAAATACCCATGGAGGCTCTATTTTCATGGCAGTCCATGAAGCTCAATATATCCTTCCCAGCCACTGGCTGTCAGACTCACCCAAGCGGAGGAAGAATGAAAGCTTTACACTTTCTGAGAAGCGCATGGCCACAGAAGTAGTTGCTGATGCCCTGGGTGAAGAGTGGAGGGTTATATAGTCCCAGTCAGTGGTGGGAACCAACAACAAGGTTTTCCCAGGAAGCAAGGCTCATGTCTCATGGCAGAGTGTGCCTGCTGTTGAGTAAGGGGCATTCTTGTGTTGTAGACCAAGAAAAACTACAGAGGAAGTGCAAGTCTGGTTATTCATTGTGGATGCTAATCTGAATGTTCTCAATGTGGTTATTGTTAGAAGAAGAAGAGGAGGAGGAGGAGGAGGAGGAGGAAGAGGAAGAACAACTCCTGGACTGACAGATAACTATGGTGCCTTGGCAGCTGGGGCTGGAAGAAGCTAGCAGAATCTGAAAGGTTTTCAATCTCTCTAAAGTTGATGTCTGCCGATATGTTGTCAGAAAGCCCTTCAAGAAGGTAAGAAGCCCAGGACCAAAGCATCCAAGGCTCAGTGTCCTGTTACTCCACATGCCCTGAAACACAAATGCCAATGTATTTCTCTGAGGAGACGACTCACTAAGAAAAATAAGGTGGAGTCTGTGTAATGTGCTAAAATTTCGGCCAAGAGAATGAAGGAAGCCAAAGAAAAATGCCAGGAACAGATGGACAAAAGACAGACAAGAGGCTGTCCTCGCCGAGAGCTTCTGCTTCTAAGTCCAGGCAAAAATAAGAATCTTTAAGAGTAACAAAGAAATAATCAGATCTTTAAAAACCCATAAAGGGCTTGGAAGGTGAAGAAGAGCTTGTTGTGTAAGAGTGAGGACCTGAGCTCAGACCCTCACGCTCACATAAATCTGTAATGTGGGGCTTTAACACATGGGCTTCTTGGCTATCTAGCCAGGCAAAACCAGCAAGCTCAAGGTTCAGTGAGAGACCCTGTCTCAAAACACAAAGCAATGAAGGAAGACATCCGTTTTGGACCTCTGACCTCTACATGCAGGCATACACACGAGTGGGCACACTACACCCATGGGCAAGCGAATGCCCAAATGCATGCACAAAATACATACATACATACAAATATCATTCAATTCAAAAATCTCAGATACATTTACTAAAATGTGTCAGATATTTTAAAATGAGAGGTTTTGTAATTTCTGTGCCAATAAATTCAAAAATTAAAGATAAAATGGAAAAACTCTGGAAACATAACAAAATTAGCTTTAAAAAAGATTTTTTGAGATATTGAATCAATGGATTAAAAAAAAATCTTTCCCCAAATAAAATTCTAAGCACAGATGGCCTCATTGGCAGCTTCTACCAACCCAATGTGTAGGGGAGAAGATGAAAATCTGTGTGGGTTTGAGTTTTTTTTTGTTGTTAAATTTTTTTATGTTTTGGAGATAGAGTCTCTCTATGTAGCTTAGGATGACCTAAATTCTACTGTTTAAGCCTTCTGAATGCTAGGATTATGGGCATATGCTATCATATGCAGTCCAAAAAGTTATTGAATGCAAAATGTGTACTAGTGTCAAAATACACAACAATATCAAAAGAATTACACAACCTTGCAGGGGCTCCCAGCCTCTGTGGATAGTAAAAATGTTGAGCCAAGGACAAGGGTGATATGAGTCATGTGACTGGCACTTTAAAGGTCAGAGCTCACCACATGTATTATCTGTGTAACCACCAAGGATCCACTCATGGCAAATCTACTCTCTGAAGTACAACTCAGATCCACACAGCATAGATATGAAGCACAGATGGTACTTTTCTAGGTTGTATGTGCATAAAATTGTTAAAATGGCATGGGGCCTTGTATCAGTCACTTTTCTGTTGCTGTGATAGAGAATACAATTACAAAAAAAGCAACTTAAGGAAGATTGATCTTGGCTTTGATCTTGGCTTACCATTTCAGAGTCCATAATGTCAGGGAAAGCATGGCAACAGGCAGGCATGGCCGCAGGAACAGGAAGCAGAGAGATACATCTCAACCACACACAGAAAACTGGAAATGGGGGGAGACTGTCAACTTTCCCTCAAAATAGAGACAACAACAGCAAAACCTTACTAACCAAAACAAAAACAAAACAACACCAAAAACACCCCACAAAGAATAACTGGAACAGCCAGGTGGTGGTGGGTGTGGTGGCCACTCCTTTAATCCCAGCAGAGGCAGGCGGATCTTGGAGTTAAGAGTCCAGCCTGGTCTAAAGAGTGAATTCCAGAACAGCCAGGGCTATACAGAGAAACCCTGTCTCGAAAACAAAAAGACAAAAAACACACAAAGAATAGCATGAATAGTAAATATGTTATGTTAAGTATACCAGTAAACATAATGTATAAAATTGAAGATATATAGCATTAGATCATATTAAATACAACCTAAAGCAATGCACCAGGTGGTGCAACCACGATTGGATACAAAGAGTGGAATAAGAAGCAGTGGAGAAGGGCTGGGATGCAAGTCAGTCAGTGGAGTGCTCGCCTAGCATACAACAAGCTCTGAGCATCGATCGGTGTGGTAGTGCCTGGCAGTCGTCCTAGCACCAGGGAGGTGAAGGCTATGTATAGAGCTTCAGGCCAGCCTGGGTTAACCGAGATTTGTGTGTCCAAGTTTCATTTCAATTTCCGGATCAAATACCCTGATAAAAACAAATCTGAGGGAGAAAGGGCTTTTTCAGTTTATAATTCCAAGTTACATTCATCGTTATCAAAAAATCAAGGCAGGAATGTGAGCAACTGGTCATACCCACAATCAAGAGCAGATGTGGAGACTGAGGCACACAACCTCTAGCCATCAAAAGCCGAGCTCAGTAAAGCTGATTGGTGTGTTTGTGAATCTATGAACTGGATGGCTGTGCTGAGGCTCCAAGTTCCGACAGCGCTATCCTGTGTGGCTAACTGAAGTCCTGGATGCGAGGCTCATCCTCCTCTAAGGTTTCTTTTTCTTTTTCTTTCTCTCTTTTCTGTTTCTTTCTTTCTTTTTTTTTGTTTTTTGTTTTTTGTTTTTTTGTTTTTCAAGACAGGGTTTCTCTATGTAGCTTTGCACCTTTCCTGGAACTCGTTTTGGAGACCAGGCTGGCCTCAAACTCACAGAGAAGCCTGCCTCTGCATCCCGAGTGCTGGGATTAAAGGCGTGCGCCACCACCGCCCGGCATAAGGTTTCATTTTTGATTTGCAGAGCAAGTACTCTGTTGCTGAGACACCCCAGCAGTCATTTTCTCCTGTGAGTGTTTCTGGTCCTCTGGCTTCCAGTGTGTCTCTCTCCAACCTAATCCACTCACTGCCTACATTTGCTAAGAAACTTAATGCACTTAAGAGCAGCTTCATTTGCTGTTTATCTGTCACTTATCCCTCCAACCTTCCATGTCTCCATCCCCTCATCCCTGCATCCCCTCTATCTCCCCATCTGTCCATCCCCTCCATTCCTCCATTCCCTTTATCCCTATCCCTATATCCCCTTCATCTTTCCATTTCTCCATTCCCTCATCTCTCATCCCTTCATCCCTCGTCCTCTCTATCCCTTCAACTCTCCATCCCCTTTATCCCTCATCCCATCCATTCATCCACCTCTCCATCCCTCCATCCCCTCCATTCCTATCATGATTTTTTCCTTGAGTGGCGTTTTATCAGGGTATTTTATTACAGCAAAAGGAAAATAAAGTAAAACACCCAGGATGTAGGTCAGTGCTCCAGAACTTCCTAGTATGTGTGAGGCCTTGGCTTCAATCCCAGCACTAAAAAAATAGACAAATACGATTTCTGAAAGATTTAGTTTTTAGTTTTGTTTTATTTCATGTATGTGGGTATCTTGCCTGCATGTAGATCTGTGTACCACATGTGTGCCTGGTGCCTGTGGAGGCAGAAGAAAGAAGTCCCTGGGGCTGCAGTTACAGATGGTTTTGAGCAGCCATGTGGATGCTAGAACTTCCTAGGTCCTTTGGGAGAGCAATCAATGCTTTTAGCAGCTGAACCATCTCTTTAGCCCCTATTTTTTTTTCGTGTGTGTGTGTGTGTGTGTGTGTGTGTGTGTGTGTGTGTGTGTTGTGTGTGTGTGTGGTGTGTATGTGTGTGCTCTCAAATGCAGGTACCTACAAAGGCCAGAAGCATTGGATTCCTCCAGAAAGCCACCTGATGTGGGTGATTGAGCAGTATACACTTTCCTGTCCAGTTTTTAGTATTTTCAATCTGCCAGGAGTGGTGACACATACCTAGAATTCCATCACTGAAGAGTCTGAGGCAGGAGGATTGTCATGAGTTTGAGGGCAGCCTATCTGGGCTACAGACCAAGTACCAAGCCAGGGGAAGGGATGAAACAAGATCCTGTGTATTGTTAATTTCCTCATTACTTTGACACCAAATCTGATCAAAGCAGCTTAAGGAAGGGGTGATTTGTTTGGGCTCACCATTCAGAGGGAAGTCTGTCATGGTGACAAAGGCTGCTGGCTGCAGTGTGCCCACAATCAGCAGGCAGAGAATGATGGAAATTTGTGCTCAGCTCACTTTCTCCCTATCAATCAGGACCCCATGCTGTGGAATGATATTGACCACAATTACAGTGACTCCTCTCATCTCTGTGAACCTAATCTATATCACAGGCACACCTAGAGACTTGTCTTCTGGGTGATTCTAGAGCCTGTCTAGTTAACTATATTTTTTTTTTTTTTTGGTTTTTCGAGACAGGGTTTCTCTGTGTAGCTTTGCGCCTTTCCTGGAGCTC